TAACCAGTGGAGTGCAACCGTGTTTGTTGTGAGACAGTGGTGGACGGTTTAAAAATATTATGGACTAGTTAAAGTTAGATATTAACACCGCTCAATGCCCATCCAGTGGTTTAAAGGTTAAGTCCAGGGTTTGAACCCCAAGAACTGGGTCGTAGATGCACATTGCTGGGGAGTCCCATACTAAGATGAAATGGTCGTCCAGTGCTTCCAGGTTTTCGATGGTGGTCTAACATTGATCCATTCATGATATTAATCTAAACTCAGCAATCTTCGCAACCCTATACTGATAATACGGGAATAGTTAAATTGAAAGAAAAATCCCCAGCTAAAATGCATTCTTGTTAATTTTCAGAGTTATCATTTCAAGAAAATACTATTCCATTTAATGATTCTAAGATGTTTTTCATGCTTCTATCACATCTAATACAAATCCAATTATGAAACAATCTAGCGCACTATTATTTCTTCACCAATTAATGATTTACTTTTATGAATTATCTCGTTAGGATCCTACTGTTTATACGAACGAAAGTGATGTAACTAATTTAAAGCCCACAAATGGGCCAGTAACATAAGACAACACAATTGAATAACAGATAACGTTATTCCAAATCAATAAAATAAGACGTTAGGCTATGTTTGGAGAAATTATCCATGAGTGATGTCGAATAACTGTTTTGTTGTACTGTGAGCTGATTAATGGATTCCCTCACAATATTTCAAAGGTAATAAATATATCTTAAGACTTGAAGATCTTGAACATGTTTCTGTGTTGACTTATAGGTATGTATTAGTGAGAAGCAAATAGAAATGAAACAAGTGTTCAATACTATCTGATTTTAAACGACTCCTCACTTGATATCTACCCGTGACAAAAACTATCTTCAGATTGTACTAATCTTCGAGATCCTTTCAATCTTGAAAACAGTTGAAATGGAAACGAATAAAAATAGATAAATTTGCAGAAACTCTACAAAAATGTCCATTATGGTAAACTGATTACAGATAAAACGCAATTGTCCACATTTCCAACCCTAAAAATCTGTAAAGAATGTCTTTAGTAGGGATATGTTATCAATTACATTTTTTTCTTTTAAATGTTGGTAAGAAATACATCTGAGTTTTTTAAATACTTTTTAGATCTATCCACTATCGCTAAAACGTAATGATTAAAGTACAGACAGTTGATGCTACCTACTGTGTCGGCAGTTGTTCATTAAGTCTGAAATTTTAGAACTTGAAAACAATGAATATTCATATTTACTAAAGTGGTTGTGGTAACATTTTGTACTAATTAAAAGTAAATTTATATTAGTAACTATATTTAACTGAAAAACTATTGAAAATTGCTTTCAAATGGCGCGAAATCTCTCACGACACGCACATGCAGTCAAATAACTAGTTTTGAGAAAAGGCAGTCTAGTGGTTGAAGCATTCAACATACAACGAGAAGGTCAAAAGTTTGGACAACATTTGACCTACTTCAATTAGGGCAACTGGGTAGATATACAAAAGTAGCTAGAGACGAACCTTTCAACGCGATAATTTCTTGATTAATATATAAATACATAATTCCTTTCTACTTTAAAGAAAAATCGTATCATTTTATTTCACCAAAAGTAACCATGTACAACATCAGTTACAGATGATAATGTCTTTTTGTCTTTTATAAGTGAATTCCATTGTCAAGAATTCTGACGAAATACATTTTATGATACACTACAACCTTTTGGAAGAACCATTAGTTATACATTTTAGGACACTATGACAAACGTGTAAGCTTTAGAAATGTTAGAAAGATTTTAGGTTACGAGAGGTTCGATTGTTTCTTGAATTGGTGAAATGTTCGTTTGTAGATTAAATTTGGTTTAAAGTTTTCCCACCAATCTTTTTATACAAAATAACAATAAATGAAATCCTAGAATTCTTTATCCAATAAATAAGATTGTAAATTAATGATATAAACTTCAATTATTCTTTGTATTTAAGTAGTTTACTAAAATATGGTTAACATAAATTCAATGAATCATTTATTGTATATTTTAAAATGGTCCCATTTCAGTTCACTGTAACATCTGATGTTTATTTATGAGTTCAATTATTTACATTTTTCTTCAGTCACCTACAATAGATCACACGATGATGTAACTAATAATCAATAACTTGATATCGCAATTCATTTATTAACTCATTATAAACATGTGTATCATGGAAAGACATTTGACGCCAAATAAATTGACTACTCAATGTTTGTGTAAATTTTGTTCAATGATGTGTTTACTTTGCTAAAGTAAAGTTTATAAAGACAGTCAGTAAATTCACTTGGTATTGTTTGTTTGCGCATATGCTAATAAATGACTGATCAATTACAGTCCTAAACATCAACGGGAATATTCAAACAAACAGTACTAAGTAATTTTTTTATTGAGATCATGAACCGATTGATGTTAGACCACCACTGAAAACCTGCAAGCACTGGAAGGCCGTTTCGTCTTGTTGTGGGACTCCTCAGCAGTGCGCATCCATGACCCCGCTCGCGGACGAGTGCCTAACCTCTAGACCACTGAGTTGACATCCAACGACGTTAATGTCTAACTTCAACCAATCCATGAAACTGCGCCACTGTACACTATTGTCTTCAGTAAGTTGATATCTCACAACAGACTTGGTTGAACTCCAATGGTCACAGATTCCCACTAGAACTCTAGGAAATATGTCAATAAGTTTTGTCTTTGTAGTTTAGGTGTTAGAGTAAAACTAAGCAATCACATAATGCAACTTAATTTCTGTTGAATAAATGACTAGTACTGGTATATGATGTAAAGAATTATGAAACAATAATAATAGTGGTGACCTGTTCAGTTTTATTACATATTTAACATATTAAATAATTTTTAAAATACTTTTTAATTCATTCATTGTTATTAAGTTGAAAAAAATGTCATGAATTCTATGCATACTATAGTATCTAATTTACATTTTAGTCGTTATAAACCTTTATTCTTTTACATAATGATGATTTGTCCAAAATTTATTCTTCAACTGAAATTTAGACATGTTCAATTCATTGATGAGTTGATTTTGAAGTCAAATTTATTCTATGTATGTAAATTTGTTCATCTTTTTATATATGTGTATATACTTGGACTCATGTTTCAGTTCAATGGTATAGTAAACAATGGCTTTATACATAAAGTATCTTTATTTTTATAAATATAAAGAATTCAACATTTATACCTCTTATTAAATATATTCATGATTGATTCAGTGTAAGGAACTAAGTAACTAATTTTCCATTGAGGAATGATGTAATAATGACAAGTTAAAGAGTATATGATGATTTCTATTGTTTTTCAGTTGTTTTTGTTGTTGTTATGGTATTGATATGAAAAGAAATTTTAATGACAGATAAATTGAATGTGTTGTCTTGCTAAATGGTAGAAAATTCATGCTATGTAATTGTTTGATTATAAGTGAAAATAATATGACTCACTAAACACTATCATACTAATTTCTTGCACTATAAAATATGACAAAGCGTATGAAAGCATATGTTGCTATACGTCTTCTCAAATCCTCGTAAGAAGTTGATAGTTTCTTGAACTTGTAACCCACCAATTGAAAGTGAAATATTTAAACTGACCAGTCACATTCATTCTATCTGGGATTTGACAGTTAAAAGTAACTTTATCTCAGAGTACTAGTGGGTTTTTTTTAAATATGAACAATCATCAATCTCTTCAAACAATATTTTATCAAGTAGAGTGCTAGGTTAAAAGCTTAAATCATATTTTCTAAAAAAAGATTTATATGGAAAGCTAGTATTTGAGAAGACTGAGAAACATTTATTCGATAAACTATCTAACTTGCTTAGTATCACCTCACTGTTATCAATTGATTAGCTAGTCAGATTGATAACCGTTGACAGACATTTGAATACAAAAAACTAGTTTTATTTTCCGAAATGCTTCAGAAGAACTATGGCAACTTGAATTGGATAGAATTTGTTGAATGGAAAAATATTAAAATAACTGTTAGTCAAATAAATCTTCCCTTAAAATGTTTACTCGATGCTGGGAAGTATTGTGTAAACTATCCAGTTTGTATGAAATTCATATCTTCCTGAAGTAAATTCTCCTACTGAGATCAGAAGTATTGCTATGTTAGTACGCGGCGTTTGTTGAAATTATTCGATTTATGGATTACATTAAGGCCTGATTTTAGTTTGGCAAAAATTAAGAACTAGAAAGCATTAAATAGTCGTTTCGTTCTGCTTAGTAGTGCATATCTACGATCTTACTAGGAATCAAAACTAGAGAATTTAAAACTCTCAGGGAACGATTAACTCCCAAAACACAAATTGGAATCCAATGGTTTGCATTTTTAACACCAGTCATTTCATGGTATTTTGTTACCATCATCTATTTCTGTTGCTGATATCCATCTCAGATCCATGATGTAAATTACAAATAAAAAAATCTACACACACTTCCTGCACTTACAGCGGTTATGTGTTTTCTAGTGACTAACTTGGTGAGGAAGTTTTTGTAGTTCTAGTGAGAAGCAGTAACTAGTGGAGTTTAACTATGTCGGTTGTGAAATAGGTATTACCGGTGCCAATAAATGACGAAATATCATGAATTGGCTAGAGTTAGAAATGCGAAACACTAAATGTCAATTTTGTGGTCTGGAAGTTAATAGTGCACTGAAAGGCTCAAATACCCTAGTTTCGATCCTTGATGAGGTCGTACATGTACACCACTGAGGAGGAAAAGAACAACTGTCCAGTGTTTTCTAGTTCCTAATGTTCATTTAGCTAGGGTTAGGCCGTGATATAAACTTCAAATAATATTATATGTGTTTGTATGACACAGAATAGCTTTTATTTACTGGAAAGTCTAGTCATTTTAACTGACACATTAGATCTAAGTTACATCTGTCAATATGATTAGGGCATACTATTAAAAAAAATAAAATCCAAGTAAAAATCTGGTGCTTACTGAAAGCGTTTATTGTATTCATTATTGGACTGGAAATAATATTCACCGAAGTTACTGGAGTTGTTGTTGCTGCCGTTGAAGTGGAAGACGGAGTGGAACATAGTACCAGTAGTGATGGTATTGAAGACAAAGACTGAGTGGATGAAAACATAGATGCCTCAGATAAAGATGAATTCATCTGATTAATTGGATCTGAAATGTCATCTTGCTTGAAAACTTTCAACCGTTCTAACTGATTTTTCATATTTGTATTGGTTTCACAGTCATAAATGTTTTGTATACAATTATCATTATTGACTGATAACTCACAGTTAACAGAATTAGACAATGTACTAGGGGATTCTGACTTCCGATCCGTTTTCATAACATCTTTGATAGAAGAACTAGAATTCGTAAGAATTGATAATAAATCCATTTCTGATGAAGTTCTTGTTGTTGATATTTGTGGTATTAATGAACTGCCACTTTCATAGTAATGTTCACGACATATTAAAAACTTGTCACTATATAAAAGATAATACTGATCACCTGTAGTGAATTGTTTCTTACAAATTGCACATTGAAAACAGTTGATATGATATACATAATGACGAGCAAATCGGACAAGTTCGCCATTCCGAATAAGTTTGTGACAAGCTGAACATTTTGGACCGAAATTTCTATAGAAATTGTAAGAAAGATAATGATAACTATTTTTCTTTTGTATCATTTTAACAATAAGGAAATTATCAAATTATCTGAAATTTTAAAAGTTAAAATAGTTTAGGAAATGAGTAGTTTATGTATTACAACTTAAAATTCATACTATGATAGGATATTAACAGTCATCCCATTTTAGTTAAATGATTAGAAATTGGCCAGTATTCAGTCAGTCAGTTTGATTAAATTGTTTTTGTAACATTTATTTAATCAATCTTTTCGATTTCATTAGATTAAAGTATATTAAATAGCCTAGTTCTTATGAGTATCCAAGATGGGGGGATATTATCAACCTCGAAAAACTTTCATAATAATAACCTCCAGATTCCTATGAAGAAAATGTTTACAATCTAATAAATAGGCTTAAAAATAACGATATTATGGTTGAACACTTAGAAATAATCTACATTAAACCTAAGTTCCATATCCAATATTAGTTAATGTTTATTAATTAATCACAGTTGTCATCTCTAACACGGTGGTTGACTTTTTGTCAATATCTATCAGTAAGATAAAAATTAACATAACTTTTTACGGTAGAAGATCTCTTACATTTATGAATATCTGTACTTATTCATAGATAAAATTTGACACTTGGATAGGATTATGACATTAATTATCACTATAACACGAATTATCTTTCAGTTAACATTTGTTGGAAAATGACTGACAGGTATAAGTTATGTTTCCATTATAACCACAACGTTTTTCTACAAATAAGTATCTAGCATCCTCATCAAATCAAACGAATTCATCAATCAAACTATTATGGCTTGGTAAATGTTGTGAATGCTCTTTGGACTCACTATTGTAAACAATGAAGGGAAATAGCTTTGTCTTCTCATCTAGCCTCAACGAAACCAAAGGGAGAACACAAGTTTTAACTAGAAGATCTATTCGATTCAACAAAGGAAAGTGAGTATACCTATAGTTATCTCATATAAACATATTTTACATACGTTCAGAAAATGAGATTACAAAATAACTTCATCAAATACTAACAAGTCAATAGAGGAAAATGACCTCAACAGAGATAAAAGCGAAAAGCACGAAATGTGTTTGCAAGGTTCAAAGTAATTTAAAGTGATAAAAATTTATAGCTGAAATGCTATCGCGAACTATTCTATCTTTAATCCAAGACAGACTGCTTGGATCATCTTGTCCCTGAGCAGCCGAAATGGCTGTTAACTACTGAAATAACTTCAAGGTTACTGATTAAATCTATCAAATGATGATAATGACAGTGTCCAACTACTTCTATCTGTCTGTAGTATATCGAGAAAATTAAATCTTACATAACACCTGTATTATTTCTGGGTTAAGATTTTAGGTAAATCTCAGTGCTTATACAAAGTCAATTTTTATATCAACACTCTGTATAATAAATAGATCAATAAATAGCTCAACTGTTCATCTAATATCACTAAGTTATGTTTCTTACACTTTAAGATTCCATTTAACCCAATTTACATTACTGCTTTTCTAAAGGACTGTATTACGGAAGAAAAGTGTTTTGTTTAATTAGGCTGTACAGTATAATTGAATTTTAAAGTCTCATTCATCCCTTTAATGACGAGTAATAATCAGTAGTTTTTATTATCACCTATTTATGGTTTACCGAAAACAAAATTCTTAACTGAATCAATCTCTTTTTTATTTTATGTTTACATAAATAGTTGGTAGATGAAATGGTCTTAGATTTACAAACAAATTGTTTCATCAACAAGAATAACAGGTATAGGTATAAAACGTTGAGCAATAATGAGTGTATTCAATTAACTTCCAGTTTGTAATTATCAGTAAGTAGGATCTATGATTACGAAAAATTAGCTATAATCATCCTAAATCTTGCATTCTTAATTTATTCGTTAATGACTTTGTGTACTGAATAGATCATGAATTGAACCATGGATACTAAAGATTTATTGTACCTTGATTTGAGCCGTTTTCCTATTTAAATATTGTTTTATGAATTTTAAAAAATAAAATTTTTAGTATGAGGTAAAGTGAAGCAAAACTTTGTCACTACAAACTCTGTAACATAATTTAAACCAGTTTTGTTCAATCCCAGTCGAGTGAAACACTAATTTTACTTATAAAAGGGCTGTAACTACATTGATTTATTAATTCATTTAACTTCTTAGATTTCGTTCGAAACTCATTTGCTATTTGGACAGAAATATTGAGTATAATTTATCCGTAATTATCAACAGTCAACTTAACGCATTGATGGAGTGTAATATTAAAGGAAGACACTCTGTAATATATAACTTTATCTATCCATGGTTTATTCAATATTCAGTTTTAATAACACAGCTAGTCAGAGTATATTTGGGATTGATATTTTTACCTAATGAATTACTGATTTTCATTGTGAGATTTAATCTTAGAAATGGTATATCATGTATATGAATCAAAATGATCGTACTATATGCTTTATTTAGTTGTATAATTCAAACTTCCTAGAAAAAAAGTAGTAAATTGTCACATCAATTTAAATTTAAATCCCTAATAACAACTTTGTACAATCAAAATTGCAGTGACCAGTGGTGTTCAACCAGGTCTGTTGTGAGATAGTAATCACTGGTGACAATGGTGGATGTGTCGCTCAATTTCGTGGGCTAGTTGAAGTTAGACATTAACATCGTTGGATGCCGGTCAGCTCAGTGGTCTAGTGGTTAAGCGTCGCGCGCGAGATTGATAGGTCCTGGGTTCGAATCCTACGAGGCGGGGTCATGGATGCGCATTACTGAGGAGTCCCACAATAGGACGAAACGGCCGTCCAGTGCTTTTAGGTCTTCCATGGTGGTCTAGCTTCAAATGACTCATGATCTCAACTACTGAAATATAATTACCTAACGATTAAGCTCTAACAAGGTAAGTATGCTTCGGTAAAAAATAAAGTAAATTTATATTGCGTAATCTTTGTTCAAAATAACTGTTCTAGATAACTGTATTCGCTCGAGTAGAAAGAAAATGATACTTTAGCGATAATATTAATTTGCGTGTCCTATTTAACTATTAAATAGATTATGAATGTAAAAACCTTTAATAGTAACAATAATTCTATTTTAAAAGTAATTTCTTTCACGTTAATCGATAAAATATTGAAAATTATGATAATTCTTGTTTTTCATCCTGACCTAGGACTTCTCACAAATACATAATCATCATCCTATATAGAAAAAATGTAAAACTTTTTAGTTTACACCGGCCACATTTTGAACTGAGCCAATCCGTCAGAAGTAAATTTCAGATACTTTTAATAGTCAGCATTAAAAAATTGTACCATTTTATTGCACCACATAGAAAGAAGAAATCCAAATAAGTTATTTATACTTGAAGATATTTTGAATATGATAAAATCAGGTCATTGTGGCTACCAGATATCACACAAAGAAAAACGATGAAAAAGTTGATTATGACTGAAAGAAGATACTACAGAAGGACTTCTAGGCCAGTTAACTTATCATATAGGCTGTACAGGGATTAAATCACAATGCTTGATCAAACGACTTCATCTAATGGAATCTATCACAGTTAAGAAGGTTATCATCAAATGTTAAGTCCTTACAAAGGCATTTTTATTAGGAAGTTATTTACCGTCAGATTTCTCAATTATCCTCTATTTTTATAGATACATTGAAGTCCACCATTAGAAAAAAAATTACTGATACATTGAAAGCAATTACAGAAATTACATGTTTAACATTATCAACTATATTCACTAATATCATATATATACTTGAAAAGAAAGGGAGACAGAGAAACACAAAGTTTACAAAACATTTGTAAACTGTTAAGTTCAAATGTCATATATATAAACTACTTTGTAAATAACTTTTATTCTTTATATTCAGTTAATTTAGTTTCCCTTTTTTTAAACCAACTTTATATAATACACCTACCTACATACATACATACATGACAACAGCAAGTTTCTCTAAAATGTCTTATATTACAACAAATCAGTAACTTTCTTATTCCTATTTGAACCAGTTAAAGGAAAATTAACTAAATCAATTAATTCAAATAATGTTTAGAAAATTTTTTTTTTCATAATTTATTTTATTTTTTTCAATGAAAATATATCATAGAGATTATTATTAGTATCATTAATAATTAGTAATTGTTTGAATCTTTTTGTTATTTATGTTAGAGATTATTCAACTATACTTAAATGTTTATGATTTAATGGGAATATTGAGACAGTTCACATGGGATGTAAATATACTAGAAGTGACGGATCAACTAATATCCTTAACATCATCAATAACAACAACAACAAAATGAGGATTCATACACTTATAAATAGACAATAAAATTCATTTCTGTTATACAAACTAGTGGCTACACGAACTCAGTAACCCTTTAGATAACATATTCAGTGTTTGAATTAAAAAGTATTAGGTTCCAGTCCTAGTATAGATATTAACATTGGATTGTGATAAGTGCATCTAGTCAATGGATCCCGAATAACACGAAATCCTGGATTTCGCAGCTAATCATTATCTATCATCATTAAATATTTCATGGAAAGCTAAATTTTATTGGTTTACATTTTTTAGTATTAAAAAGTAGGAGTAAGAATAGAATATTTAGTGATTCCAGTGTATACTTTTATATTTGTGATTATTTGCAAAGATTATATACTGTATGAAGGTGTTTATCATCAACTGGAAAACCCTTAAAAATAGTCCTGTGGTCAATGTAAACTATTGTACTCCAAATTATTAGTTTAAAGGTATCATATTTGTTATGAGTCCTGAGAGTCTTTAATTTATATTTCATATGGAGTAAGGAATTCACACTATTGATAAGATTCAATCTAGGACAAGTACAACTGTGTAGTTCTATAATGTGTTCATTTATTTTCTACTTTATAAATATTATATGTAGGTCTACTGGTTAACTATTCATTTGATATTGCTGTTTTGTGAAAACTAATTTTCTATACAATAACACTGATTTACAACTGATGAATTGGAAATTAACATATGATTCAGTTTTAAGCATATCAAACAGTAATCATCCTGTAGATCTCTAGAAACGTAATTATTATTCCTTGGAATCAATCATCATGTTACAAATATGTTCAATATCAACTAACTGACTACTAGTACAAACGGATTTTTTTAACATTCATTAAGTTATTGAACTCTGAGTTATAAATCATGTATAAAGAATTAATGAAACTATTGAACCAATAAAACTGATAAAATAACTTGTATAATTATAAAAGTGTGATTCTGAAGTACAAATAAAGTAACCTGTGAAACAAACGGAGTTATACATAAAAATACTTTTTAACTAATAAAATCAAATTAACTACTAAAAAAATACTTTTAGATACAATACTCTAGAAGGTATTTTGTTTATCATTAAACTCTTGAATCATTGTGTTTGTTTCACTACTACGTCGAAAGCACGTAATGTGAAGAATTACTAAATTGTACTAATATAACTATCCCTTATTCCCTAAAGTTTTAACAATTTTCAAGTTAATATTATCGTATAATCACTAAAAAATTATGACCAAAAATAAGAAAATAAGTCACATTTCCCTATCTAACATCTGTATACACTAATGATTAAGCATAAGTAATTTCAAGTCTCATCACTTTGTTTGTCTTTTCTTTTCAACAAATAGTGATGTTACTTCCGAAATGTAAAATCATTTCTTTCTTTAATAATTTGATTTGTTTAAATCAGATCCTTATCAAATAGTGATATACAATTCAAATAGAAAGTGTTTATAAATAAACTTTCTAAAAGCTGTAGCAAATAAATGGCATACAAGTAACGGATTCCCAGAATACCAAAAAAAAGAAAAACAGAAGAAAAATTGGATAGTGAAAAGTATGGTTCTATAGTCTGTTTAAGGTCATACATGGAGAAGAAAAAGAAGAAAACCTATCCATAAAATAATAGTAATTGAAAGATATCTATAAAAGTATTCTTAGATAATTTACTGTTCAATAATAGTGAAGTGTATAATTTGTAATCTGAACATTCGGATGCTTATCAGTACAGCTTATGTAAATATAAGAAATTAATAAGAAAGTTAGTTAATATACAATGAAGAGATTTGTGGTATTTATTATGTTTACAGACAGTTCACATTATAATCCACTATGTCCTAATGATTTATAAAAAAACTTTGCAACTGGATACAATGCTGGAAGTTATAATTGGTTAGTACAGAGTATCTGTTCAACTGTTCCTAGTTATCAACAGTCATTCAGCTAATATCAATTCCTGGTGTAAATTAACTTTGAATGTAAAATATAAGAGCAAAGCACTTGTTTTATTATAGTAACCTATTAAATCTGCCAATCTAGTTCGAAATGAGCTGATTCAACATATTTTCAAGTTTCTGAATGACTGCCAATTTATAGTAAAATAAGAAGTTAAATCAAAAATTTCTTTTATTGATATCCTATTTACCAAAACAAAATGACGAATCGATGTAAAGGCCCACATATAAAAAACATACGCAGAATGGATATCTGACTGATTTTTACAGATTAGTAACCGGAAAATGAAATCACAATCATTCTCCATAATCATGAGCCCCTATAGGATGAAATAACTAATTTAAAGTGGAATTATTGTTGACATAGTCAAATATTAAGTCAAAAATTAAGCTACTTATACAGATTTAAAAAAAAGGAAATTCCGGGAACTAACTTGATAAAATCTTCTCGACAGTATAAATGACCATCCTTTGTGTAACATCGTTCTGTGAGCACAAATCCACAATCAAAACATCTTAAACAATTTTGGTGCCATGTAAGATCATCTATACTATGATAATATTGATCAAATATAATTGATTGACATTCATTACAACGCAATATATTGATTTTAATAAAATTAGGATCATTTCTGCTTTTATTTTGTGTACAATAGGCAGATAATTTTGAATTGTCAGCTGATTTATTTGAATTTTGATCAGTGGAGATCAATGTTACTGGAGGGTTATGTGTATGATTATTTTTCAAATGAATATTCATACTTTGATTTAGTTCATTACGATTTGGACTGGAACAAATAAACTTAGTACTTGAATATGTTTGCAAATCTGTATCTGATATGAGAACCGTATTAATATTACTAACATTAATACTATTATTACTATTGTTGGTTGAAATGGTAGTAATAGTAGTTGTAGTATCAGTAATAGGGGTCATTGCATTTATACTACTATTGTTACTCTCATTAAAACCATTAGACATTGTATTTTGGTTCATAATTCCATTGTGATTAAAATTCGATGTTACCCATATTTCCGGGTTTGCAGTAGTCATTTCTACCACTTACTACTTGCTATTATTATTATAAGTAGCAGTAGTAGTAGTCGTGATCAAAGTTTGTAGCTTCTGTTTTACAGTTTAATATGATAAAATTTTTATTAATATTTCAGTAGTCTTTGTAATGATGATTAACTGCTGAATATTGAGTGTAATTTTCTGAAAATACATAATTATTCGAAATTCTGAAGCGTGAAAAATGATTGTTTACTTATTAAAAACTCATTTTGATTTTTACAATCCTTAAAAATTCTTTATAATTCATTGTCCAATAAACACTATTATTTTATGCCCATCAATGTTTCCAGATTATTTTCACACTCCCTTACATACTTAACTATCTATTTACTAATCATGCTTTTCTCTTCTCCATGCGCACCAGTTAGAAACTAGCAAATGAGATAAGGGTTTTTGATTGGTTGATAAACTTACTAATTATTATGCGAAAATCGGATTAGCATAGAATATTAATAACATTGAAATTCCGGAATTCTATGTCCCCTTTCATTCATTCTACTTTCCATTGAAAAATATGAGATCAGATAGACAAATAAAAGTGAAGGCAATGTTTTGTACTATTCTAGTAAATACAATTATTTACTGAACAATGAATTTACAAGAGGTGGTTTATAGAAAATACAGCCCTATTGATTATTGGTTAACAGATACTGGTTAATATTTATATATCACATGATATGTATGAGCATATAAGAACTGTTTTGCAGCTATACAATCAACTGGTTAAAATAGAAATTTGTATCTAATCAAAGTAGCATCATTTTAAATAATGTCTTAAATGTTTACAATCAATAATTTCATTCTGGGAGATAAAATGAAAATTTCTGTTAAACTGGAAAAAAAAAACAGAACTTAGTACAAAAGGTGTAAAAACTCTTAAAATTATGATTCAACTTTATGTATGAACTTTCAGACAGATATACAGTAAGTATCCTTCTGAAGAGTTCATTGAATTTCAATTGAACATATTAACTTTTGAAACACTGGGTTTATATTTATCATGTACCATTTTCTACAATCACGTAACTTATGTTGATACGTAATTAGCCCAAGTTCAATATAAATGAATTTTAATAATATATAATATTTCATGAAATATACTCCTTGAATGAAGAATAGAACAGATCGTTTAGAATATTTCTAGTTGGACATTACACTTCATATTTTTAAATATGGTAATAATCCGATAACATTAAGTGAGATAACCAATCTTTGGCTTCAAAATGAGCAGTAAACTTAGCGAGCTCTTTCGAAACGCATCTCCAAAAATTCCTCTTCCTGGCTCTCTAAAAAAATTACAGAAGTTCGCCAAAAGCTCAATCTCAGATCATATAGTGAATTCTAGCCACTCCACTTCGCCAGAAGCCTCCTTTAGAATTATAGATACAGTCAGAAGAGTCGACTCAATAAGAATGCAAATGAAAAACGTATGTACAGTAGAAGCTATTGCTATCCACCAGTTTAAGCCTAACATTTGCTCCCAAAAACAATATGTTCAATCCCCTTCATTTCTATCTTTCATAATTTATCATTTAGCACCTTTTTATTTCACTATAAAACACTATCTTACCATATAAAACTGACTATAAATACGACTGTACAGCTTAAGTAAATGAGATCGTTTAAAAGAAAAAAAATCCTCGCTGAATTGCCTTTCTTCTTTAAATTAAAACTCGTTGAATTTTCAGTGAGAATTTTTCATCTACTGATTACTTGTTAACATATAGGTGAATCAAGAAGAAAAAGGTGACAAATACTAACTCATAGTTAAAATTTCATGCTTCGAATGAAATACCCAAAATATTTGGGTTTTTTTTAATAATCTCTAAAGTAACAAAATCTCTTCATCATATTTTTTAAGTCAATCAGTTTGTTTGGTTAAAGTAATTTTTATATATTTACTGTGGATTTATTTTTATATATTTCTAAATAGTTTGAATAGCAGAGAACTTGACAAGTATCTATAGGTTTATGACAAGAAACATACTTGTCCAATGACTGATTTTTATCATCCTCTCTCTCTCGTGATATTTTATTGACCCTATATTTTGATGCCACTTAGATCGGACGATAATGTTGTCAATGGACTCACCGCTTACTGTATCCCTTTGTCTGACTCCAATTAAATCGTATTATGATTGTCATCAGCTTATACATTCCAGCTACCCTCGTTTATAATTATCGACTTAAATCGAGTCGGTGAGTAACGGGGTTAAATAGGTCAAATACGAGAATAAAGTTTGAATACGTGAAATTCGTACACTTATTAATTTGGACAGACAATCAGGAAAACGAAGCTAAGGAAGCGAATGCAAACGAAATCACACAGAGCGGAGAGGGCGAGTGAACCAACCAGCGTGACTTAATATTTATAGTCAGACCAAAAATAAATTACAGACACATAAGTATTAACACACACACTATCATATAAAAAGCAAGCGGGATTAATAAGCGAATGAGTGACAAGGTAAGAATGTGACTTGAGAAGAATGAATAGATTAGTCTGTCCAGAGGCTAGAATAACCTATATGGGCTTGGTATAGTACTAGCCCCTACAATATATAAGCTCCGGTCGGGCGGCTGATGAAATTTGTAGAAAAGATGCATTGAATGCTCAAATTCTCAATTATATGACATAATGAAAGAAAAGTAAGTTGCAATTCATCGGTAAACACTGTAATTTTATTAAAGAAAATAATCCCAAATACTAAATAAAATGGAAATAAGACTAATAAGTAGTGTCAGCTGACGGTAAAATGAACTCTTAGGCAATAGTTTTTACACTATTGATTTTTTTGTGTTAAATTATTTTTGTACGGTCTGAATTAGAAAAAGTAACTTGATTAGTTGGGAAAAAAAGAAAGCACCATTGTTTATCATTACATGTGTCAAAAAACTGTTAACTACAATTTCAAATTTAGAAATACATTTTTAAGAGTGGGACGTTGGCTCAGTGATTAAGACAGCCCACTACTAGCCACAATATCCCCGATCTTAAACCTACAGCCTATCCACTACTACGGCTTAGCCGGTAAGATGGTACTAAAGGCCAGCATACATAGAATATGACTCAAAGTCAAGTATATAAATATGTACCAGGTAAATATTTCAATAAGAATAAGAATATGTGAGTTCCCAGTGTCTAATATTTAAAAAATACAGAATAATCTTGAACAGTCTAAACCACAACTGTTCACTGATCATTCTAGTTAACTTTACTAAACGTACATTAAAATGTTGCTTGAAAAATTGAAATAATGAGAAATTTCAAGTGCTACTGAGTCTCGAACTACTAAATTGCTAAAGACTTTGCAACGCACAAGTTTTGCTTGGTGCTCCTTTTGAGACAATGGATTTGACTGTATAGATTATTTTGAACAATAATTCTCGTGGAGCAAAATGATCAGAACTGACATGTTCTTATATTTATTTACTGATTGTTTCTCATTCTAGTCTTAAAAGCGACTACGTGTAATGATCTGAGGTGCGTTCAGAAAGAATCCGTCTTGTGTGGTCATTGTAACCTGCCCCATAAGAGCAGGTAAACTTAGAGGTTCATATTAATGTTGTCCAAATAAATTTACACTCAACACTTCTATGAATAATAAACCGTCTACGGAAGACAATATAGAGTTTCTCAGATGTTTCAAAATTGAGTTTCTCAGGGCTTCTGCAAAAGCATCATCTTCTAATTCGATACCCATGTAATGTTTTCTTTTGGACTATCAGTGACCTGTCAAGTTGTAGTTTTTATCACAGGTTTACATCAGTGAATCTTGATAGATTATCATTTCCGAAGAGTATTTATTAGAGTTAAAGTAGTTAATCTTAAGTTGTGCCACTGGAGCGTCCCTTTTTCTGCCCAATGTTTTGAATTCTTCCTCAGTGATACAGTAGATTATTTTCATCATTCTTCAAAAAGTAATAATCGCACTTATGTAGTGTCATAGATTCGATTTATTACGCCAATGCACTATAATATGGTTTCAATTAAGTAGTTGTCAGCATGCTATGATTTTAATCATGCGACTGATAGTTATGCATAAAAATCAAATCTATGGTCAGAAGCTTCCTTGTGAATGTATGAATATAAAAAAATGATCAGCAGAGTCCATTTATTTCTAGTTAAATAAAGCTTTGATACAAAAAGTACCTGATACAAAGTTAGCATGGTTAGACTTTAAATATTTATACAACTGTAAAATAAATGCTTTTATCGTCCATTTTCCAGTCAATAATCTTGAAATTTGACGGAGAAGTTTACTTCTTGTCTTCTATATCTTTACCGTATATAATAAAATTACCTTGTTTTCTTAATGAATTTTGATCTTCTCAGTTAGGTTAATAACAGTGGTATCTTTAATCTATATTAGAATTGAATCGTTTTTAATGTTTTATAAAAGTAGGTTGTTTCGTAAGTGTAATCCGAATCGCTTCATGATAAATATTCCCGTCTTAATCATTATAGGAAAGTTCAGAATCTTTCACAAATTCATCATAGAAATGGAGATTCATATTACTCACTATCTACTTAAATAAACTACTTCGTAATACCCCGTTTTTACATATTTTCTAATTTAACAGTATTCTTAAGGAAAAGCCAACCTATCAATGTAATCATTACTTGATATAGAAATTCTATCATCAAAGTATTACGTCATTGCTTATGAATGTAAATTAATATTTTATATGCAGCTGATATTGTTTTATTTAACTTAATCCGATTTAATTCTTGATGAGGTCAACATCACACCTACATGCGTTGAAATTCACGGCAAACCGTAGTAGAGATAACCACATTGTACTAAACATATGCTACTGAATAAAACTACAACTACTATTATCAGATATAGTTCTCCCATTCAAAAATCAGTTAAAATTACTTTATCAAATAAAACTTTCTTGATTTATTTACCACGGTAATCCTTTCTGCACTTTGATATCAACGATCAGGACTTCCACATGAGACTTCAGATGAC